GGAATTCCACTCCTAGGAATTTACCCTAAGAATGCAGCACTCTAGTTTGAAAAAGACAGGTTCACCCCTATGTTTATTGCAGCACTATTTGCAATAGCTAAGAAATGGAAGCAACCTAAGTGTCCATCAGTAGATGAATGGATAAAGAAGATGTGGTACAGATACACAATGGAATATTATTCAGTCATAAAAAGTAAACAAATCCTACCATTTGCAACAACATGGATGAAGCTAGAGGCGGAGAAAGGCAAGTATCAAATGATTTCACTCATCTGTGGAGTATAAGAACAAAGAAAAAACCAAAGGCGCAAAACAGCAGAGGACTCACAGAACCCAAGAATCGACTAACAGTTACCAAAGGGAAAGGGACTGGGGAGGATGGGTGGGAAGGGAGGGATAAGGGGGTGGAAAAATGAAAGGGGGCCTTATGATTAGCATATATAATGTGGGGTGGGGGCACAGGGAGGGCTGTACAACAGAGAAGACAAGCAATGATTCTACAACATCTTACTATGCTGATGGACAGTGAGTGTAATGGCGTATGTGGGGGGGACTTGGTGATGGGGGGAGTGTAGTAAGCATAATGTTCCTCAGGTAATTGTAGATTAATGATACCAAAATAAAAAAAATAAAAAAATTAAAATTGGGCCGAGGATATGAACAGACACTTCTCCAAGGAAGAAATTCAGATGGCCAAGAGGCACACAAAAAGATGCTCCACATTGCTAATTATCAGGGAAATGCAAATTAAAACCACAATGAGATATCACCTCATACCAGTGAGAATGGCCAATATAGAAAGCAGTAGGAACAATAAATGCTGGTGATGTGGAGAAAGGGGAGCCCTCCTCCACTGCTGGTGGGAATGTAAATTAGTTCAACCATTGTGGAAAGCAGTATGGAAGTTCCTCAAGAAACTAAAAATAGGAATAGTATTTGACCCAGGAATTCCACTCCTAGGAATTTACCGAAAGGAAACGAGATCTCAGATTCAAAAAGACATATGCACCTCTACGTTTACTGCAGCACTATGTACAAAAGCCAAGATATGGAAGCAACCTAAGTGTCCATCAGTAGATTAATGGATAAAGATGTGGTACATATACACAATGGGATACTATTCAGCCATAAGAAGGAAACAAATCCTACCATTTGCAACAACATGGGTGGAGCTGGAGGGTATTATGCTCAGTAAAATAAGCCAGGCGGAGAAAGACAAGAATCAAATGATTTCCCTCTTTTGTGGAGTGTAACAAGGAAGTAAAACTGAAGGAACAAAACAGCAGCTGACTTACAGTCTCCAAGAAGGGACTAGCAGTTACCAAAGGGGAGGGGTGGTAGAGGGTGGGTGGGGAGGGAGGGAGAAGAGGATTGAGGGTATTAATGATTAGTACACATGGTGTGGGGTGCATCACAGGGAAGTGACTGTGGCATCTTACTACACTGATGGACAGTGACTACAATGGGGTATTGGGGTACCTTGATAATATGGGTGAATGTAGTAACCACAGTGTTTTTCATGTGAAACCTTCATAAGAGTGTGTATCAATGATACCTTAATAAAAAAAAGAATAGAAAAACAAGTCATTGTCTATTTATACAACAGACTACTCAAGAAAATGTATTTTTTATAAATGAATAACTGATACAATGACATAAGTAAATCTCAAAAACATTCTGTTGTTAAAAAAATAATATATATTGAGTGAAGGAGTCAAGACATAAAAAGAGTATATACCACATGATTACATTTTATGATACCCAACAACAGGCAAAACAAATCTCTGGTCACAGAAATCAGAACTAGGGTTTCCAATTGCAGGCAGGCATTGACAAGTGATAAGAAGAAATTCTGAAATGTCCTAAATTAAGTGACATAAGGGCAGAGAATGAGGGAGAGAGACAGGGAAAGGTCATTGGTCAATAGCCGCAAGTCATAGCTGAGCAGAAACTCCATGTGCCTGGATGTTATTTTCCCATGCATCTAGAATGTCCCCAGGACCACTGACATCCTCGTGTGTGACTAGTGTCTTTCCACCATCAACTGCCAATCCACAAGTCTTCTCAGTGGACTAACCACCTATCCCCAGACATTCCCCCCTTTGCATTTAGCCCACCTTCTTTATCTACAACCACTGTGAACTTAGAGAACTTTCTTTCCTTGAGATCCTTACAAATGTTCCCTGTGTCCTGAGTGGTGGACATGCTGTTTTTGGGAACAGGCCTTGCTGCTGGTGAAGCAGAGACTTCCTGCGCTGGGGCTCAGTCCTCATTCCGGCTACGTCTGCAAAGGGTCAGTGAGCCCTTTCGTTTTAGAGACTCATCAGTCTCTGGAGTTTTTGATTTGTCACAGGAAAAGGGCACACAGGAACTTCCTGGGGGGATGCAAGTATTCTATATGTTGACTGGCATGTTGGATACACAAAGGCATAATTTGTCAATACTCATTAAATTGTACAATTAAGACTGTTCATTTCACTATAACTTAAGTTTACCTCAAGAGAAGGAAAACAACTTCTGAGATATCAAAAAGAACAAATTTTCTCAAACTTGAAATTTTTCCAACCTAAAGAAGACGGGCTAGTAACAGAGAAGACAAGCATTGACTGTGCAGCATCTTACTACACTGATGGACAGTGACTGCAATGGGGCATGGGGGGGGACTTGATAATATGGGTGAATGTAGTAACCAGTGTTTTTTCTTGTGAAACCTTCATAAGAGTGTTTATCAATGATACCTTAATAAAAATAAATAAATAAATTCCACAACAAAAAAAAAAAAGAAGAAGAGCTAGTAGCCCAATGGTTGTTTTAGAAGCAATCAATAAACCAGCCTACGAGAAAGGAACTCAGTGAGCTCTCTTGGTGAAAGTTTTGTTGGGACACGCATGGAATGGGCTCAAAGAAAACACCTAGTTGTAGGGGAACCAAAACAGCAAGAAAGATGACAAGTATGGCCAAGAAAACACAAGAGGGCAAGTCCTGACTAAAGGAGGCTGGAATGGCACCTATTCCCAACACTAAGATAGTAAGAGAGTTTGGCAGAACAGACGTGTGAAGTGAAAACTGCTTCAGAGCAAAGCAAGTACAAAGGGCAGGCCTCTGGTAGACTTCTCACCCCTACAATGGGTCACCCAGCTTCACCCTCCCTCGCCCACCCCCAGCACCTAGCAGAAATTTTAAAAAGGTGGAATTTGAAAATTTCTCCAGTGCATGGGGTAGGGAGCTCTAAGAAAATGATGTTAAGAAATTAAAGCTATGACATTAAATATAACCCTTATCAAACACTAATTTAAGACGTAACTCATAACCGAGCACACACGATCACCCTCACCATAAAAAAAAAAAGGAAAGAAATTAAAGCTATGCTTCTATACAAACATTTGTCAATGACTAGTAATGGCAAAAACTAGACCACTCATTTAAGGAAAATTCAAGAAGTTGGGATTCCAATCCAAACATCAGAACCACTATCCCAATAGAATCTCTTCCCCATCAGCTAGAGAAAACACTCAAAAATAGTAAAAACCGGCTGAAATTCACAAGCAAACTTGGAAAAGGGAAGAACGCCATGCTATAAACTTCCAACAATGGTAGCTAAGCAGACAAACAGAAGTCACGCCTAATCCCAGCCCCACCTCACACCTACCCACCAGAAATAGTACTAGCTGAACTGACAAAAGCGAGATGCTCGCTTAATGCTTTCTAGTTTGGAAAGAGGCAGAATGCCACCTTTTTCCTCTTAAGAGTGGCCCGTAGAAAGAAATGCTTTATATTTGGTTTATATAGACAACCCTGAGACTGGAAATATTAACCACAATAACTTAAGGAACATTAATGTAAGTCAAACAGAATACCATAGTAAATATGAATACCTTAACTGTATTTTGGGTAGCCAAAAACATAAATGTCTTTTTAAGCTACAAATAATTCACCAATCTGTAGGACCCCACATAAATACAAGGCAAGAAATCAAGCTGATATTTTCTCTCACCTACAATTCCTGGGGTCACAATTCCAAGGATTTGGCATTGTTTCGGGAATAGTTTCTCAAGGGCAAATGCTGTTTCCATTGTGGTCCTTTTCCTTGCTGTAATAATACGGCAGCAAAATTATTAAATGTCACATATTTAAGTTAAACCCAATGATGTGGGAGAAAAAGCAAATTCTGAGTCAAATTCAAGTCATCTTACACCAGAATGCTTTATACGGAAGTCTAAAAACTTTGATGAAAACAAATGTTTTCCCATTCTGGGCCCTTGTTTTATATTTTAAATCTGACCTTTAGCATCAGCAGTTTTCCTTTCTGCTTCCTTCATATACTGCCTTTGCCCCAATGTTAAGTCTAGCAGCAGCTAAATTTTAGGCTTGCTACTGGTACCTTTCTGGTCAGTTGGTATTAAAGCATGACTTTCTGACTGCATCAACAGTCACCTGGATTCAAATGAGACATGAAAACCCATCGCCTAATTCTGACCCTGGGCCTCAGTGCGCCCATTCCGGCACACTTCGGCTGCTTCTTCTCTCAGCAAGCCAGGAGGAATGAACAACACGGTAACTCTGGTAAATGGGTTCCTATCATCCAACACACTAAAAGGCTTGAATAGCCAAATATGCATCCTGTTTTAATAATAAAAAGAAGTACCTGAAGGATGACAGTACTTCAAAATGAGAAAACACCTTTCTAAAGAATTTGTTTCAATCATACAAAACGTTTAGACATCAATCTTTAAAGCAAAAAGAGCTCAAAGTTCAAAGACAATATATTCATGCATTCTACAGGGCGTGGCCCAGAGCCTCAGAAAGTCAGTACCTCTCAGGACTAGGACATATTTAACTTCAAACACAGGTACATAGGGAAACAAAAGAACCCTAAACTTTTTCTTTTGATATTTACCTCTCTTGTGGCCACGACACTCTTCCAGACTAATGAAAGTTTCTGAATCGGCCATGTAAAGAACTGTCCGTGGTAAGATGTGGACATTCTGCAAAGAAAATAAAATCAGAATTGGATCACACGAATCTGTGATATTTCGTGATCCCTTAATGTTTCACTCTTGGTTCCAAGTGCCGAAGCCCTACCCGCTGCAGGTGGCAGTGTGGGCATTCTGAGTCCATTCACTTCTCACTCACGCTCTTTCTTTTTCAGCTCATTCATCTGTTGAACATCTACTATTACTTCAAGTCAAACTCATTCCAGACTGAGTCAAGAAGTTAATTTTCATAATAATTTAAGCTTTAAACAAAAATATTATGTACCAGCAAAAGATGCCTCTTGCTTTATTTGAACAGGTGACGCAGTAATAGGAACATCTCAGCAGCACAGGGAAGGCATGCAAACGGCATCACTCCTCTTTCCACTTGCTGTAAACTGAATATTCCAGGCCCTCACTTCCACCTTACCAATTAGTTTCCTTAAAGGCACCTTCCACTTACTGTTAGCCAGACAGGCACTTCCATGTATATTCTCCTACGGCTCTCTTCCTTCCTCACTTGATTTGCGTCCCTGAGGTGATAACTTAAATGCCACTTTCTCCACGAAACCTTTTCCTAGACTCCCCCAGTACCTGGGACCTTATATCCAACACCCCTTAAATCCCAGTCATTCTTATTTGTGCCTCATCTCCACTTAGACACTGGGCTTATTCAGACTGATGTTTTTCACTATATTTCACATTACAGACAGGTGGCAAGGTGGATGAATTAAATGACAAGGGTGAGCATATTTTTCTTTCTAAGCTGGTTATTTTCATTCATTTTTCCCAGCAGAATCAAATGAAGTAGTTTTAGCAATAGCAAAGCCTCAACACTGAGACAGAATGATGATTCTCTGGTGGCCTCAGGGCCGATAAGACGCTGTAGACAGTTTTCTTGGTCCACACCACATTTTCAAAGAATGTAATTTGGTTGACAACATTTAAAATTCCATAAAATATTTATATGAAATGTGGATTTCCAGATTCTTTTGCAAAACTCTTGTTGAAAAGCTAGGCATTCTGGCAACTGAGACTGCACTCTTACTGACGGGGGCTAAACGGAGGCAAGCACTCTTGGCTTTGCCACGACCCAGCCTTAGGATGTGACACTGAGCCACCGGAGTCGCATTCCTAACCTCGGAGTCAGCAGTTGTGATTCCTGGGTATAGTGAGTAGAGAGATGGAAAGTCGAGTCCTGAGGTTTTATGATTCTCTCTTCTCAGATATCTACTGAAAAGCTATTGCTGACTATTCCATCCTAAGTCTCACTAGAAACAGTGACAGTAACAATCCTCAACATGAAATGTCCTCAAAGCACAATATGAGACAACTAAAGCTTCATCCCGTTATTTAAAGATGTTCCAAATGGCAAGATGTTTCATAATATATTTTTTATTAAAATATTTCTAATAAAAAAGTTAAATATCAATTTTATGGCTATAAAAATATCATGTCCACTATATAATTTGGTAAACACAAAGAAAACAGCATGACTTGGACAAAGTTTCCATGTTTTTGTCTCACCACACTAGAGTTTACTACAATTTATAAACTTGCTTAAGAGTATTGCTATATGAATTTTAATAACAACATTAATAATTGAGATTACTGAAAATATTACATTCCTGGTATTATACATACTGTGTTATATATGCACTACCTTTGCATTATTTAATCTTTACAACTTTATAAGGAGAATTGTTATCGTTTTTCCATTTTATGGAAACAGAACCTGAGGCTGAGAGAGGTTTGGTTAACGTTTTCAAAGACTCAAAGCTAGTATACAACAAAGCTGGGTTCATATCTAAGCCTGTCTGGCTGTAACAACCATTACAATGTATTTAAAGCTATATAACAATACCAGCTTTTAAAAACATTCATTAAAAAAAAATCACACAATTACACTCCAAAAGAAAATTTCTGCTAAAATTTTGACTTTCTAGTCTTTTTTTTTAGTAATTTAGATCATACTAAACATATAATTTCATAATCTGCTTTCTCTTATTTTATATTCTCCATAGAAGATCTTTATGGAAAAGTCTTTGCCTGAATTTTTTAATTTTTCAAGACTGACAAACTTTTGGAAATACACCAGACAGGATTTGGGCCAAAGCACCAAGGAGGTTTTCTGCAGCCTGCCTTTGGATACTAGCCACTTTGGATCTGAGTCTGAGCCCAAATCAGGTAAGAAAATCCACATGAGGAAGGGGAAACAGAAGATTGCTCACTTATGGGGCACTCACCTACTATCTAAACATATAAAGAATAATGAAAGCCAGGTTTCTCATTGTCCAAAAGAGAGGCAAAAATATGAGCTTAAAGAAAACTGGGAAGAATCCTGTGTTAGACAGGAATTTGGATATACCTGTGTGAACTCATAAATTTCCATAAAAAAAGTTGCAAATGTGTGTATATGTACATAACATGCACATACACACAAATGCATTTACATACATAGATTCCTTAGTTTGGTCCACTTCAACAGCAACTGTCCAGACCTTGGCTTCTAAAAACCCCTCTCCACTAAAAGGATCCAGAGCTCTTTGAAGAAATGGCTGATTCAAGGACTGAAGCAGGCAAAACACAGGAGGAGCTTAAACATCTTGTGCCAGATAGCAGGAAGTGCTCAAAGATAACGGAGTGCCCTCTAAACGATACTGAAGCCAGCTGAAGGGACTCTTACTAGCCAAACGGGGACAGTTTGGGCACCAAAACAAATACTGATAGCAAGAAATTATATCCCACAGAATAAGAAACTAAGAGTCTAAATAGATATAACAAATGGATAAATTGAAACAGGATATTTACATAGTTTCAAAGTATCTCCCCACAAATTACTTATTAATTACAGTGGAAAAGAGTAATTTTACAGTAGCAACATCTGCCAGACACCAACTTAATCAAATCAAAGGTAATATCACTAGTAATGGGGCAAAAAATGGGAATCATATGCCCCGACAGGCTGCAAAGAGAAGGGCACAGCATCACTTCTATGACCGAGATCAGAGATTAAAGAAATATGACAAAATCAAGAGAGTCTAAACTGAATTCTTTTATAAGGACATTACTGGAACAACTGGCAAAACCTGAATGGAATCTGAGGATTAGATGATAGAAACATATCAATGATAATTTCCTGACTTTGATGGTCGTATGGTGGTTATGCAGAATGTTCCTGTTTGTGTGTAACGCGTCCTGAGGAATACGGGAGTGACAGGCCATGAGGTGGGCGAGGCACTTTCAAAGGCTCCTTCCCACTCCCAAGTGAACTACCACAGCCTCACCCCTGCTCAAGAGAACTGACTTCACAGCTCCTTCACCTCCCCACGCATTGCCCATCTTTTGAAACTGGGGCCCAGAGATAAAATACAAGAGTATGGGGGAGGGGGTGGGAGAGGTGTGTGTGTCTGGGTGTAAGTATTGGGTCTTGGCTTTTTTTATCTGCCACTTAGCAGAAGTGTGTGTGTGTGCGACACTTAGCAAAAGTCCCAACTGCCCTCCCTACAAAACAGTGACAATACTTGCTTCAAGGGAAGCAGCTAAAGGAAGAGTTGTGCACAGCATTATCATAACAGTAAGAATCTGGATATACAAAATGCCCAACATTTGAAGAACGGTCAAATAAATCATGGCACATTCTTACAATATACCGTCATTAAAACTGACGGGTACAAAATCTTCCCTGGTCAGGAGAAAATGTTCCCCAAATTACGGCCACAGACAAAATTGGGATAAAAAAAACAAGTTTCAGTTCTTAAAGGCTGACCCACCAACCCTGCAGCGGACTGTGCGATACACGTCACCCCTTCTTACTCGCCTCGAGCTCCTCGGCTACGACGCGGACCAGGCAATGCTCCTCCAGGTGGCCGGCACCCGCCGAGCCCGCGGAGATCCAGGTCATACTCCGATGGGTCCGCAGCACCCTGCGCGCACACTCCCTCCACAAGCGGCACACGCTGCGGACGCGGACGCACAAGGGCTTGCGGGCATTTCCCTCATGCGCGGCTCGGCCGCCCCCCACGCCTCCCACAGGCCCTTTCGCGCAGTAGCCGGGGATTCCTGCGGGGTCTACGGCTGCCGGGAGGGGGCGGTGTCGGGCACCGGTTTGCAGGGACGGCCAGGGGTGGAGAAAACCTCCAGGCGATCTCGCGCCGCGGCCAAACGCACAAAGGAGCACGGCAGCGGGGGTACCTCGCGGGCGGGGACGTCCCCTCAGGGCAGGGGCAGGGAGCCGTGGGCGGCGCTAGGTCCCGATGGACTGCCCACCCCGCCATCCCGGGCAGGCCCGCGACGTCCCGAGGTCCGCTGCCCGCTTCCCGTCTCCTACCCGGCCACCCGCAGTAACGCCTTGGCTGGCAGGAAGGTGAGGACACGCTCCACCACCTCTGCTAGGTTACTTAACACGAAGGTGCTTCGTGGGTCTGCGGAGGGCAGGTGGCGACCGCCGCCGCCGCCCACCGGCTCCATCCCCCCCACAACCGGCCCGGACAAGGCGTACAGAGGTTCGGAAGTCGCCGTGGAAGCCGGCACCGTACCGCCGGGCCAGCACGCACTGAGCAGGCGCGCGCGCCACTTCCGGCCGGTCGGGGAGGCGGGGCTGCAGGGGCGCCCACGTGACTCCGGGCCGCCAGGCTTCCGGAGCTGGTCCGCGAGCGCTCGCCTTCCCCTCGGACGCGGTGGGCCCAGCTCCCTGTAACCCTCCCGGAAACCTCTAGGCAAAATATATCCTTCCCCTGCGCGCTTTTTTCTTTAACGACACACGTCTTTATATGATTCATGAGTCCTTGAAGGCGGAGACTAGGTCATATTTACACTATACTCCTAGATGCCTGTTAATAGCATGAGCCCAGTTTTTGAACAAACTTTACTTTGAAAAAACAAAATCACCTTCACTCGATACCGAGTTAACTCATTTATAGCCTTCACACAAATGTAATGTAAATGTAAAACGCATAAATAGCACCTACCACTGCTGTGAAAGCATGGCCCAAACTGCGCTAGTTCCTTGCCATTAAGATCAGGTTCACCCGGGGCACATGCTTGTGGTCCTCACCTCGGGCCTGTAACTCACTCATGTTGAACCCAGTGGTCTACAGTTTTAACTTTCCTGTGATTCTGATGCAAGCTCAGGTTAAGAATAACAGGCAGAAGGAATCTTAAGCACAGCAGACACTGCTGTACCCAACAGAACTCCAATCCTGCTGCCACATTTTTGCTAATGAAGCCCTGACTTGATCCTCAGCTGAGAGTAAACTTGGCATAAATTATTGAGTTTCAAACATTTGGCCTCAGGACTCCTTCACACCCTTAAATATTGACAATCTCAAAGAGTTTATGTGGGTTATGTCTATTAATATTTACCACATTAAAAATGAAAACATTAAAATATTCACTTAGATTCATTACACATTAACGGAAATGACATTTTTATGAAACAATGCCTCCCCTTTCCCCCCTCGATTTGTGAATTGTGGCATCACTGCACATTCTGCAAACCTCTGATTTCTGGCTTAATAGCTGGCTAGATCTGCTTCTGAGTTAATCTGCTACAATATGTAGCCTCTGGAAAACTCCACAATTACACTTACAAGAGAATGAGAGTGAAAATGGCAAATTCTGTTTTAGTATTAGGAAAGCAGTTTTGATCTTAAAAACACCTAAAAGGGTCTTCGGGATCTCCAGGGTTCCCCAAATCACATGTTGAATCCAAACTAACCAGGATGGTTTCATTCTTTTCACCAGCCATTAGTTTAGAGATGGACACAGGCACCAGTTCTAGCCAAGGAAAAGTGAGGGGCAGTATGCTTGAGGTGGGGGGGTGTTTCTAAAGATATCTGCACCGCCTAAGAAGGCACTAAAGACAGGACAACTACCTACCTCTGGACCAAGTAACATGGCTGCATGTCCAGATATAACATTCAATCTAAAGATGAAACCAACACAGAAAAATCTCAAAGCATCAGAGTAGAACCCAAATGTCTCATACCTGGAGTTATCCTACCTCTGGATTTTTATGTGAGATAACCTGACAACTGTGTTTAAGGAGGCTATCAGTATACTGAAGGAGGCATGGATTATTCTAACTAGGGAAACTAGGGGCAGCTGTGAAGCAAACAGCACTTGAATCGACATTAAAAAATCAGTGTGGGAGAGGAAAAAGGTTGAGGGAAACCTGAGTATGCCAAGTGTGTACACACCATTTATAGATTCTTTAGCTTTATCTTGTTAAATCAATCTGCCTCTCTGCCTCTCAAGCCTCTTCCTTGACCCATCCCACCAAACAGAATCATAATCCTCGGTCAGAAACTCAATAGAGCATCTTTGAGGGAAAAAGTGACAAAGATATTTTTAAATGGTTCTTTATTCATAAACTTGATGCAAGTTTACAAAATATACTGTACATTGCCAAATAAATCTGCAATGAAAAATAAAATCCAAAAAAAAACAAAGCATGGCAAATGTGCAGCTATCAGTTTGCTAGCCATAAGGATATTGAAGAATTCAATAATGTATCCAAGATTTAGCCTTAAGTTTAAGGAACTTTAATGCTTTAAAGAATTCTGCCATGTCACTTGTTATCTGAGCAAATGGCAATTAGAACTTTATACAAATGTAACCAAGTGAACAAGGATGCCAGAAAATCTTTTTCTACTGTTCTTTTAGCCAAAATACAATAAAAAGGAATTAAACACACAAAATAATGCAGAAGTGCCATATCTCTCTGATGTGGCTTACAAAGTTAAAAATGAATCTTAAAGCAAATGTATAAGAAACATTTTTGAACTTTGTAACTGGTTTGTGCAGAAAAATGTGCTTCTGGATTTCATTTTAAAAGTGCTTATTTACTAGAATTTACTTTTAAATCAAACTTGGGTATATAAAAATCTATTACCAACTAAACAAGACTGATTCCGGTAAGGCAATAAAAATGGAGAGTACACTGATTTGAGTCAGGTTTTATAAAACAAATAACGTATGTAGAGTTCCTATTAGTCTTTCAATGTAAAATTCACTGTTATGACTATAGCATAAAATTTTAAATCTCCAAATTATATCTTTTTGTATTTATCTTTTGCAGCTTCTGCTCAAGAAGTCTTTTGCCAATCACCTTATAAGTTTTATTAGTTTACAAATGATTGCAACAGCCCCGTTAATAAAATGGAAACATAAAATGACATAGTATTTTAAATAACTAAAAGCTCTATTCTGCAGCTCTTCTTCATAAGAAATATTGAACCAACAAGCAGCAGATTCAGCCCAGCAAGACTCTGGTGCCCCGGTGGAAATTACTACTTACAAGCCTTAATCTGGCACAGCCTTGCTTCACTTTGCCTAAAAAGTACAATATATTTTGGTTAAGAGCATATCATAAAGAACAGCTCATATCCTCACACAGCCATAAAAAATTTTTAACAATTTAATGAGTAGGTTTCCTGTCATTATTTTGGCAATACCATAAAATGGTTTTAAACTGGAAAAGCTACTGTGATTTAGAAGACCTCAAGTTTTCTAAACCAATTATTAAACATCAATTAAACTTTGATTGGCTCTAAATGGAACAATATATTGCAAGTACTCATAACAGACAAGCTCAGGGTGGGAACATTACCCTAATACTGCAACTTCTATTACATGATGCTGACTTGCTTGCTTAAAAGATTTCACCTTTTAAGAAAAAGAGTTGATTGATAAGGAGTGGCCAATATGTGTATTTATTAGGAAAAATACAGAAAAGGCCCCACTGCTTAGTCAAGATACCTAAAATGAGCAAAATGAAAAGCCTGTGACATACTATATGTCAGTTGACAGATTATCCACTAAAATATCTATTGACTAATGTCTTCGGTACTGCTGTTATAGGGGCACTCAAAGCTTGTGTCTGCATGTTGGAAAGATGTTCTTTAAAGCAACATTGGTCCAAACATACAACAGTCAACACATTTAGCCATCTTCCTTTGGAGGGGTGTACCAGCCTAAAACAGAATGGAAAAAAAAGTTAATATTTTAATTCCTAAACTAACTAGGAGAAATGGCATTTTATTAAAGTCAGCTACTTTCTCTACTCTTATTTTTCATGTTTAAACATAACTGTAAAAATTAAACTTACACTTGGGTTGGTAACACAGCATTTTCATATATTCTCAATACAAAGTTATTTTCTATGAATAAACTGTACTTGAGTTTTTAACATAAGATCTTTATATTAATGGCATTTCTAGCTGAAGATGACAGTGTGAAATATTAGTCAGGTTTTATATTCCATTTCAATTCTGTGTTTGAAAGTAAACCTCACTAAAAATAACTATTTCCCAAACAAAATGCCGGCATTTTAAAATAAGAGGAACTTGGAATGTCATCAGTGCAGTGATGTCACTGCACCAGTAAGGAAGCCAGGTGGCATGTCTCAGTGACTATGCCTGTCATCAGAGTTAGAGCAGATGCCAAACTAGAATCCATCTCCTGATTCTGAATCTATTGCTCTTTCACCATGGCCAACCTTATACATATCCACACTTTCAAACAAACTTTCTATAAACATTTTAAAAAGCTGATTACAATGGTTGCTTTAACAAAAAATAAGAAGAAAAAATGTGACTGTTTTCCAGAATCCTTTTCTATAGAAAGGGAAATGTGACTAAAGTGCTATTTGGTATGAAATAGCCACTGGAACAGTGTTGACTACACCAGTATTTGTGAAACAGCCACATGGTTATGATAGTATACAAGCATCCTTGGATCTACTAAATTAGCATACTGGAAACTATTATAATGAAAAATCAAGCCTTGCTCTCAGTTTTATTTCCCTCTTCAGAGCTTGAAAACTGTTTCAGCTGAAATAGTCCCTGAAAAAGTGATGTTTCCTCTTTCATTAAAACTAAAAACACAAAATACAAATCTTAAGTCACAAACTACCACATTTCTAGCAAAGAACACTTTAAGTACTCTCCTTAAAGAAAACTACTTCCTATTAATTTATTTACTCTGCACAAAAACAGCATCGGTTTCACTACTGTGACTGCAACGAGTACCTTATTATCAGCACTCAGTTGCAAAGTGCTATGCATCACACTACTCTTTTTTTTTCCCCCTCACAAGTTTGGCAAGACAGGCATTACACCATTTTAGAGATGAGAAAAGGGGCCGAGAGGTAATCTGGCCTGTTCAGGGCCAGAGCTAGTGAGTGACCCAGATGGCACATTAAAAAGAGATCTTCTGATTCCAAGTCTATGTGTTTTACTACCTCACTGTAAGAGACAAAAACCCAAGGCAAATTTTAAGTAAAGTCAGCAATGTTTATGAAAGACATTTTAAGAATTATTAAAAAATTTACAACCCAAATACTCTTACACATATACTGAAAGCAGAACTATTTCTACTTGGATAAATGTGTAAGATTGTAGTAGTCTGAAGATGATTCAGAAACAGCTGGTTTATGTTCCTGACTGAATTCACTCTCAAAGAACAAGAACTCCACATAGACTCCTTTAGCTCAGTTCTTATCCTAGTGTCATACATTTCAAGTGAGCAAAGTGATTCATCCTTTAATCTAGCAAAAATCTTGATTGACTCAGAAGTTCTAAGGCCAAGTATTTAGGATACAAAGATTTTGAATGAAGCACAGTGTGTATATCCTCAAGATAATTTTTTTCTATGTGGTAACATAAGAAATTAAAGCAAAAACAGAAAAACAGGATATGTATCAACAGTACATTATGTAAAACTTCATAAATGGCAATACTTATTGAATTAAACATACCATTTTTCTCATGTATCTGTACAATGGAATTATAGGATTGCTGGGCTCTTGCTAGATTATATTGATTCTGAAAGAGAATTATATATTTTAAATCAAGACTGTAAGTGATAAAGTTTATTACAAATAAATCTACAGATACATCACTGCTGTACTTAGAATATAGAAAACTGAATTATATTTCCATTTCAAACATAATTTTAACAATAACCCCACATTTCTTAATTTCACTATTCTCTACCATTTTCCAAACTAATGAGTCAAGTTAAAGGATAGTATTTGGACATGTGTAGAACTCTAACTGTCCTTCATAACTTGTATCCAGAAAAACAAACTACAAAATATTACCTTCAGATAACATTAAGCTTTAAGGACTACACATATGAACGACATTTTCAGTTAAAAATCTACAGATGCCCATCACTGGCACTAAGCCATGACTAAGGAGTTCTCCCTTATGGTAATCTCTTTCAGAACTACTTTTGGGGGCAAATTTAGGATTAGTTTTATCCCCATCAGCACACCTGACCGATGTCTTCACTTCCAATCAATGTATCATGAGCACCTTCCACAGCGGTTTGCACATATTATTGTCAGAGAATTTAATAATGAAATTCATATAGCACAAGAATAAAAATGTATAAAATCATTCTAAGTGAAAAACTCTTCTTCCTACCTGTCCTCAACTGCCCAGTCCCTCCCTTCATCTATCTTCCTTCCTGCACCCAGGTTATTAGCTTCTTCTGTTATTAGCTTCTTCTGTCTCCTTATTATACAAGGAAATTCATGTACAGCCCACAATTAGCCACCGTCTCCTGCTTTCTACCTCCAAAACAAATGGTAGGTAACATGATACAGATAGTATTCTGCCCCTTTTCTCACTTAATATATCTTGGACCTTGTCCTGTATCAGTACACAAAAGACTACCTTTATTTTAAAACAGTGCAATATTTCACTGTATGCAGAGTCAAATATCTAATCAGTCCGTCCCCAATTGGTGAACATTTAGGTTTCCAATATTTTGCTATTACAGTGTTGTAGTGAGCAACCTTGTACATATTTTCATAACCTTGTCAAAAGGGTCAAAAGACACATATACATCTTCGTAATTTTGAAGTGTTGCTAAATTGCCCTCTACAGGATTGTATAAATGTGTTTGCCCACCAGCCGTGTATGCAAGTGCCTCTATACAGCCTCACCAAAGTACTTCTTTAAACCTTTGTTAATTTTTGACAATATTATAGGTGAAAGATGGACTCTTGGTATAGTTTTGATTTAATTTCTTTTATTTAGTGAGGCTGAACATGTCTCCATATGTTCATAAGCTATTTGTTTCTCTAAACAGACTTTCAATATTTTTTCTTTTTCTACAGTTCTTTTTCAATTTCGAAGACTCTCTAAAAATAGTGAAGCCCTCCCATACATAATGCATCTAAAAATCTAAAACATAGATTGTGCCACAGTGTTATCTCCAAGTTGAATGAAAAAAAGTGTTATTTATTTAGTCTGTATTTTTTTTAAAAAGGACAAAAATAAAAGAGAAACTGACTGTACATAATAAAATACACATAGACTGAAACTCTGAAATGATCATGAAGCACTTACTTCTTAACCCTACTGCCCACCTACTAAAGGTGCAAAGAGAAAATAAGAACATTAGCCTTCCCCATTCTCGGTAGTCAACAGCATGATATTCAAATTCTAGTTCAAAGGGAATGTTACCACAGAGGCTTTACTGTATGGGAAGTTAGTCCTATTTTCTAGCTCACTGATGTCTGCTTATGTCTTTATTAATCCCTTCCTTCTAGTTTCCTCCAGTTTATTTGATAGTCCTTTCAAACCCTGACTTAGAAGCTTGACTCATTTTTCTTTTTTTAATGACATGAGGATTTTAAGGCAATGAGTATTCCTCTGAGCTCTCCATTAGTTTCTGATTTGTAGTGATTTCATTATTGCTACTCTCTAGATATTTCGCAATTTCAATTTCAAATAACTGTTTAAGTTTTTAAAAATGCCACAAAAGGAACATTTGTTTTCCGGTTTTGCTCTTAATTTACAGTTTTATTTAATTAGGATCAGAGAATGACCTCTGTCCTTTTTTTACTTTCAGAATTTGAAGTTTTCTTCATTGAGAAGAATTTCATGAATGTTCCAGATATGTAAACAGATAGAAGAGTGGTAGAGGAGACAGAATTTTAGTATTTTCATTATGTTTCAGTTCTAAGTATTTTAAAATTTTCATATGATCTTTAACCATGATTTGTAAGTATTAAAATGTCCAAATTCATGTATATTTTTATTAATCTTTTCATAATTGCCTTCTAATGTTAACTGCATCAATATTTCAATTATATGGCTTTTAAATATTCTGACTTGCTTTATGGATTAATTTATGAATTTTTCATATTCCATATATGCTTAGAAAGGATATGAAGTTTCTGATTATGGGGTACTGAGCTCTGTATCTGTCCATTAGACCAAGCTTGCTAAATGGTTCTTCAAATCTACATGTTTTACATATCTGTTTAACATCATGAGCAAGACAGGTTAAAATATCCCACTATTTGTCAATTTCTCCTGTGGGTCTAACAGGCTTTTTATGTGCATTTTGAAGCTATTTTAATTGGTATGTAAAGTGAAAAATCATATCCTCCTGGTTATAGAGCTTTTTATTATATAGTCATTACTAATACTTTGTGTTCTAAAATCATACTTTGATACAACAGCTATATCACCTTTTTTTATTAGTGTATACTGCCATATTTTTATCACCTTTCATTAAAAAAAAACTTTCAATCTTTTTGTATGCTCACATTTTAAATATACTTCTTAAAAATCTCTGGATTTTACCAATTCAGTGTCACTGGTAACATTAAGTCCACTTACACTTGTGACTAATTTACTTCAACTTGCTTCTACTACCTTACTTTCTGATTTCCATTTCTCTTGCTTTTTAGTATAACTTTATTATCTCCTACTGGGATTCCAGTAAGATATTTTAGACCTGTAATGATTGCTACCTCTTAACTTCTGCCATACTGTCTATGCTCATGTCTCTCAGTGCAACACTCTTGAGTTATTTCTTCTAATCAATTCTCTTTTCTGATGTCTAATCTATTGGGTTTCTCATTTTAATGATTGTATTTTTCATTTCTATAAATTCTACTTCATTCGTTTTCAGATCTGTCTCATAATTCCTGATGGTCTTATTGTTTGCTGAATTTTATGAGTCTTTTTCTTTACATTACATCTTACACATAACTATTTCTCAATTCTAAATATCATAAGTCTTCATTCTATTTATGGTAATTCCAAAACCCAACGTCTTTAGTAATATCTGTCATTCATTCATCCTGCCAATTCTCATTTATGTTGGGTAGCCTACCTGTGTGCTTGTGATCTTTTCCCTGATAATTCACATTTGCTTGCTCTTTATCTCTGGGACTCCTGTAGGCTTAAATCAGAAAAGCATTCATCTAAAGAGTATCTGTATCTGCTTCTGATGAGAACTGTGGATACAACTAACATAAGACCAGTTTAGCCCCCTTGGAGAATCTCAGGATCTTGCAAGGTTCTCAGATTTACTTACTCAACCTTGCTCGTTTATAAATAGAAGACTGGATTGGTAAATACAGGTAGAAATTCCCACCCGTAGCCCCACCCGCAGAAGACTGAACAGATCTCTCACTGAATGTGAGCTCTCACTAGAGAATTCTGTGAGTAAATAACTAGAGGTCTGTGGGCAGCAAGGAAACGACAGGAGCCTTTCCTGGTTGTAGAGATAGATTAGGACCTGCCACAAGGGCAGACTACTCCAGGATTTTACTATTTAACTCAACTGTCATGCCCTGCATGTAGTGAATGGCAGCTTGTTAGGATGTTATCTTGCCAATCTAAACCCCAAATTCCTGATAAAAGTCATTAATAGCAGACCTCTACTTTAGAAGGATTTCTCACTAGTAAGGCCTAGAATTAATGTACTCCATTCTTCTGCCCATGGCATCCTCTTAGCTCCTGCTTGCTGAGCCTATGGGAGCTAACGGAGAGACTATACAATGACTCTTGCCTGCCACAGAGTTGCAGATCCTCAGCTTCTCGGTTTGACCCTATCTCCAAACGTCACATGTACTAACGGACAACTTTTGTTTTCCAGTACTTACACATATTTGCATCATTTTAGTAATATTTCCAAGAGGCAAACTCATTTATTTTGAACCAACAGCTGACAGTATCTTATAAAACATTCCATCTTCTAAGACCTGTATGCAAATGTACTTAAGGGGTCTGACTTAACATTCTGTGCAAAATGGTTATATTTACTTGCTAAGAAAACAACAAATCATGGAAATGTAAAAGGTTTAAAGCAATTACATTGCCAGTGAGTGATTCCAAGAGGACTATAGCATTGAACAAAGATAAAGTGTTGGTATTACAGAATTTCAAAACTAGAACAGACTTAGAATATCCAGACCAACTGTATTTCAGGTAAAGATACACAGGCCCAGAGAGGTAAGTTTACACATAGAGTTATCAGTAAAATGCTCTTTCAATTACTCAAAGAGATCAATGTTCTAAGCCTTTCCTATTTTCTTTCCTTAAAAGAATAACCTAACAGAATTAAAAGAGGAAACAGAATGCAGTGCATTAATTCTAGGAGACTTCAACACACCACCCATTCCAAAGGACAGATCCACCAGACAGAAAATAAGTGAGGACACAGAGGCACTGAACAATACACTACAACAGATGGACCTAACAGACATCTACAGAACTCTACACACAAGAGCAGTAGAATACACATTCTTCTTAAGTACACATGGAACATTTTCCAGAATAGACCACATACTCAGACACAAAACAAGCCTCAGTAAATTCAAAAAGATTGAATTTCTACCAACCAACTTCTCATACCACAAAGGTATAAAACTAGAAATAAATTGTACAAAGAAAACAAAAAGGCTCACAAACACATGGAGGCTTAACAACATGCTCCTAAATAATCTATGGGTCAATGACCAAATTAAAACAGAGATGAAGCAATATATGGAGACAAATGACAACAACAGCACAAAACCCAAATTCTCTGGGATGCAGGGAAGGCTGTTTTAAGAGGAAGTATATAGCAACCCAGGCCTATTGAAAAAAGGAAGAACAATCCCAAATGAATAGTCTAAAGTCACAATTATTGACACTGGAAAAAGAACAAATGAGGCCCAAAGTCAGTAAAAGGAGGGACACAATAAAGATCAAAGAAATAAATAAAATTGAGAAGAATAAAACAATAGAAAAAATTAATGAAACCAAGAGCTGGTTCTTTGAGAAAATAAACAAAATAGATAAACCCCTAGCCAGACTTATTAAGAGAAAAAGAGAATCTACACACATCAACAGAATCAGAAATGAGAAAGGAAAAATCAAGACAGACCCCAGAGAAATACAAAGAATTATTAGAGAATACTTTGAAAATTTATATACTAACAAGCTGGAAAACCTACAAGAAATGGACAACTTTCTAGAAAAATACAACCTTCCAAAACTGACCAAAGAAGAAACAGAAAATCTAAACAGACCAATTACCAGCAATGAAATTGAATTGGTAATCAAAAAACTACCCAAGAACAAAACCCCCAGACCAGATGGATTCACCGCTGAATTTTATCAGACATACAGAGAAGATATAATACCCATTCTCCTTAAAGTTTTTCAAGAAATAGAAGTGGAGGGAATATTTCCAAACTCATTCTATGAAGCCAGCATCACTCTAATACCAAAAACAGGCTCAGACACCACCAAAAAAGAAAATTACAGACCAATATCCCTGATGAACATAGATGCAAAAATACTCAGCAAAATATTAGCAAACAGAATTAAAAAATACATTAAGAGGATCATATACCATGACCAAGTGGGATTCATCACAGGGATGCATGGGTGGTACAACATTCAAAAATCCATCAACATCATCCACCACATCAACAAAAAGAAGGAAAAAAACCACATGATAATCTCCATAGATGCTGAAAAGGCATTTGACAAAATTCAACATCCATTCATGATAAAAACTCTCAACAAAATGGGACCATTGTCTAATCCCATACACAAAAGTAAACTCAAAATGGATCAAAGATCTGAACATCAACAAAAAGAAGGAAAAAAACTACATGATATTCCCCAGAGATGCTGAAAAAGCATTTGACAAAATTCAACATCCATTCATGATAAAAACTCTCAACAAAATGGGTATACAGGGCAAGTACCTCAACATAATATAGGCTATATATGACAAATCCACAGCCAACAATATACTTAACAGCAAGAATCTGAAAGCTTTTCACCTAAAATCAGGAACAAGACAGGGATGCCCACTCTCCCCACTGTTATTCAACATACTACTGGAGGTCCTAGCCACGGCAATCAGACAAAACAAAGAAATACAAGGCATCCAGATTGGTAAGGAAGAAGTCAAACTGTCACTGTGTGCAGATGACATGATATTGTACATAAAAGCCCTAAAGAATCCACTCCAAAACTATTAGAACTAATATCTGAATTCAGCAAAGTTGCAGGATACAAAATTAACACACAGAAATCTGTTGCTTTCCTATACACCAACAAAGAACTAGCAGAAAGAGAAATCAGGAAAAAAATTCAATTCACAATTGCATCAAAAAGAATAAAATACCTAGGAATAAACCTAACCAAGGAAGTGAAAGACCTGTAGTCTGAAAACTACAAGACACTCTTAAGAGAAATTAAAGAGGACACTAACAAATGGAAACTCATCCCATGTTCTTGGCTAGGAAGAATTAGTATTGTCAAAATGACCATCCTGCCTAAAGCAATCTACAGATTCAATGCAATGCCTATCAAATTCTTCAACGAACTGGAACAAATAGTTCTAAAATTCATATGGAACCACAGAAGACCCCGAATAGCCAAAGCAATCATGAGAAGCAAGAATACAGCAGGAAAGATCTCGCTTTCCAACTTCAAGCTCTACTACAAAGCCACAGCAATCAAGACAATTTGGTACTGGCACAAGAACAGACCCAGAGACCAGTGGAACAAAACAGAGAGTCCAGATATTAACCCAAATATATATATGGTCAATTAATAGGCAATAAAGGCATTATGGACATACAATGGGAAAATGACAGCCTCTTCAACAGCTGGTGTTGGCAAAACTGGACAGCTACATGTAAGAGAATGAAGCTGGATCATTGTCTAATCCCATACACAAAAGTAAACTCAAAATGGATCAAAGACCTGAATGTAAGTCATGAAACCATAAAACTCTTAGAAAAAACATAGGCAAAAATCTCTTGGACATAAACATGAACAACTTCTTCATGAACATATCTCCCCGGGCAAAGGAAACAAAAGCTAAAATGAACAAGTGGGACTTTATAAAGCTGAAAAGCTTCTGTACGTCAAAGGACACCATCAACAGAACAAAAAGGCATCCTACAGTATGGGAGAATATATTCATAAATGACAGATCTGATAAAGGGTTGACATCCAAAATATATAAACAGCTCACGCACCTCAAGAAACAAAGAACAAGTAATCCAATTAAAAAATGGTCAGAGGAGCTGAACAGACACTTCTCCAAAGAAGAAATTCAGATGGCCAACAGGAACATGAAAAGATGCTCCACATTGCTAATCATGAGAGAAATGCAAATTAAAACCACAATGAGATATCACTTCACACCAGTAAGGATCACCACCATCCAAAAGACAAACAACAACAAATGTTGGCGAGGTTGTGGAGAAAGGGGAACCCTTCTACACTGCTGGTGGGAATGTAAATTAGTTCAACCATTGTGGAAAGCAGTATGGAGGTTCCTCAAAAAACTCAAAATAGAAATACCATTTGACCCAGGAATTCCACTCCTAGGAATTTACCCTAAGAATGCAGCAGCCCAGTTTGAAAAAGACATATGCACCCCCATGTTTATCACTGCACTATTTACAATAGCCAAGAAATGCAAACAACCTAAGTGTCAGTCAGTAGAGGAATGGATAAGGAGTATGTGGTACACATACACAATGGAATATTATTCAGCCATAAGAAGAAAACAAATCCTACCATTTGCAACAACATGGATGGAACTAGAGGGTATTATGCTCAGTGAAATAAGCCAGGCAGAGAAAGACAAGTACCAAATGATTTTACTCATCTGTGGAGTATAAGAACAAAGAAAAAAAACTGAAGGAACAAAACAGCAGCAGACTCACAGAACCCAAGAATGGACTAACAGTTACCAAAGGGAAAGGGAATGGGTAGGATGGGTGGGAAGGGAGGGATAAGGGAGGGGGAAAAGAAAGGGGGCATTAAGATTAGTGTGTATAATGTGGGGGGAGGCAAGGGGAGGACTGAACACAGAAGACAAGTAGTGACTCTATAGCATCTTACTATGCTGATGGACAGTGACTACAATGGGGTTTGTGGGGGGTGGATTTGGTGAAGGGGGAATTCTAGTAAACATAATGTTCCTCATGTACTTGTAGATTAATGATAGCAAAAAAAAAATTGAAGGAATAAAACAGCAGCATACTCACAGAACCCAAGAATGGACTAACAGTTAGCAAAGGAAAAGGGACTGTAGAGAATGGGAGGGAAGGGAGGGATAAGGGGGGGAGAAAGGGGGGTCATTACGATTAGCATGTATAATATGTGTGGGGGGCATGGGGGTGCTGTGCAACACAGAGAAGACAAGTAGTGATTCTACAGCATCTTACTATGCTGATGGACAGTGACTGTAATGGAGTATGTAGGGGGAACTCCAGTAAACATAATGTTCCTCATGTAATTGTAGATTAATGATACTAACAACAGAAAAAAAGAATAACCATGATGAAATTTAACATCAAGTTCTACATATAAATAAATGCTAGGAAGAAAACTTAAAAGACCAAAAGTATACCAAAGTGTTAATAGTACTTCTAGCTAGTCATGTGACTTAAATTTTTTGGTATTTTTTTCTACTTTAGAAACTATAGTAAGCATAAATTTTCTCACAATAAAAATAAACTTTTGGTATTCAAGTACATAATCATCGAAGCACACTTAAAACACCTGAAATATATATATACTGTTAATAAATGCTAGTTAAGCATACTTAGCAATTCACTAGTATTCAATAATTAACTTCTACATTTTATAAAAAATGGTATTTTATTGCAGTGTAAAGAAATAGTCATTCAAAGAGCTAAAAGTAAAAATGATTTATTTATAGTATTATCCCAAATAAATAATTTTTTAAAAGGACATTTCAATTATTACTGCCTCTGAGTTAAGATTCTAGTGGACTCATGACTGACGTGCAATATGCTTATAAATACATATTTAGATTTGATACTATTTGAATAGGCACTTATCACAAAATTCACACAGACCTTTATGAATACCCAAATTTTAAAAAATGTTAGATCAGGATGATTTCCACCACACTAACTTCAGAGTACCTCCTTGCTCGATTTAACTATTGACAGATAATTACAATTAGACATGGAATGATATTTCTTATTGGTCAGTGAATAAAGTGCTTATTAAGAGCAGAGGCTACACCAGTCTGGTTCCAATCCTCACTCTGCCACTTGTGACCTCAGATGAGTTACCTGACCTCTGTATGCTTGAGTTTCCTCAGCTAGAAAATGAGGGGAGTAGTATTCCTGTGATGGATTACTAAAAGGATTGAAAGGGTTAATAAAGTAAAATGTTTAGAATAGAGCCTAGCATTTAATTGCTCACTGTTAATTATTATAACATGATCTCAATTTTGAGAAACTTCAAAGTACATATAATTTTTTGCTTATTAATATATATTACCAATAAAGTTACAGAAATGCTTACAGTAAATAAAACAAAGACAACAAAACCAGGAAGAAGCCTCATAAGGTAACATATATATCTTATTATTTATGTGACATTCTTAATAAAAGTACCTTATTTGCTCCAAACTGCACTCTGGCTTTGCCTTTGACTAAGGTGGCATTGATTTGCATGATGACAGATTCTATTGAATAGGCACTACTCCAGCCCTACAGGAAGAAGAAGATACTTCTCTAAAACACAATGGTACTTCTGATTCCCACTTAGGAAAGCTTAACAAATGATACATAACAACACAACAATAGCAAATCACTGTTAAGAAGTTTCTAGCGAAGAGGGAAAAAAGTAAAGTTGGACCATTTCTAAACTTTCACCAAAACAAAACAAAAAAAATGTAATCTAAGCATCAAATGTGAGCAAATTTATAACCTTAAATAAACATCACTCTTAAGGCCTATCACAGATTAATCACAGGTACACTGTCATTTTCCTGGTTTACTTTTAAATTGATTTTTCTTTATTAAATGTAGGTGCTATTTAAAAATTGTAAAACAAATGTTTTAATTGATAACATCAGTGTTTTTCCACTCAGAATCTAATTTACAAAATCAAAATAACTCTCGAGGTTGAAAAACAAATAACATAAGAAAACAGTCACCTGTTTCGTGAGAAGTTCCATACATAATGCTCCACCACCCAACACGTACCTCAAAAAGAAAAGAGAAATTATATAAAATTCTCTAAGTCTCAGCATTCCTTCTTACTCAATTTTTAAAGTAAAGTAAAGATTAGAAGATAACATAAAAATGAAAATAGTTGTTAGGGTTTAGTATTATGGGTAATTAAAAATTCCAATGTCATAGGTCTAATTTTTTTAAAATATGGTTCTTGGTAACAGAGTACTTTAAAAGATTTTACAATAACAGAAACTAAGAACACAGCCCTGAATATTCTAGAGAATGGGGATGTTTTATTCATCTGAAATTTCTCTACTATACAGCCAGAGTTTTTCCTCTGACAATTTTACCCTATCTATAAAGATGAACATCTGCTACTGAGCCCCTCTCTGGGAATTTTCAAAGCTAAAGTTTAGTGGGAAGGAAAGAAAAAAATTCCAAAAACAACTCATATGGTAAAGCATGGGATCTTAAACTTCTTAGTTTCTGTGTTCCTGGACCACAGAAAAATCTATATCCAAGTCTTTGAATCCCCCACTGAGCTCAGAGTATCTTGTATATAGCGAACTTTAAATAAGCACTTGGTGATGTAACAAAATTAGAAGATCAGGTTTTCATTTGTATTTTGGTTTCTCTAAAACTGCTCAAAGCCTTGTTATCTGTTAATGAATTAACACCATCTCTGATACTTACACTTCAGAAATGCTAAAGGGAGATAGGAACTTATTTTAGGAGAAGGAGGTATGTAGACAAGACTGAGTTACTGATTATCCAATCACCCCCTTTCTTTTTAGCACCCTACTCTTCAATTTGGGGGTGGACAGTCTTGTCAGATGGGAAGTAAGAAATTTTAGTACTTAAAGGCCAAAAGAAAGTACATTTTCTATGAATAGATATTAACTACACAAATGTTCACTTGCATGACTAAACACAGACAGAAGTAGTTCTAGTACTTACACAAAAAGATAAGTAAACTTTACCTTAACTTACATTATCAGTAGCATTTACACCCAAGGTCATCTAAGAACAATATGCCATCTGTGAGCAGAGTAAGTTTCGATTTAACTACAGTTGTCGAAGTTGTACCAAAACACTATCCTAAGCTCAGCCTCTTCAAGGAATTAAATTTATAATTTTTGTTTTTCTCACAGGTTCTTGCAAAAATGTCTGCTAGCTAACTAGGATAGTCACTTAATTGCAGTGATGAAGGGGCAGCAAATAATACGGTGTTAATATGATTCTTAAATTCAAAAACAGAAAGATGAAAAGTATAAAATTTTTATACACTAATCAAATTCTTGACAAGGATCATAGAGAGAAAAAGGAAAGCTGATCAGCCCACGTAAAACACTCATGATCCTTTCCTTTTTTGAGGTAAGGAAATGGGCCATAGATGCTATGGACAGATCCATAAGAGAGGGATAAAAGATAATGCTGGCACTTAAAACCAGACTCTTCAGACTAATGTCCCCTCAGGACCTGAACAGACACTTCTCCAAAGGAGATAACAAATGGCCAAAAGGCATAAGAAAAGATGCTCCACATCACTAATTGGAAGGTTGAAGGCACTAGGGGGAGGGGTGAGCACGTCACACTGATGATGCTGCCCCCTCCCAACCTGAAAAATGTGCCTTAGGCTAGCCAATCCTCGCGCCGCTGTAAATCTAAGCTCTGCTTTCCCCTACCTTCTTTAAAAACTCACTGCCTGCCCTGCTGAGCGCAACTTCCCTAGCCTGTGTCTTTACATGCTGGTGAACTTCGCCGGGGATCGCATTAAAATAAACTGCCTGTCCCTTTGTTGCCTCTCTTCGCCTGCTTATTTTGGCTGGAATTTATCTTACACTAATCATCAGGGAAATGTAAATTAAAACTACAATGAGGATTCAAGATGGTGGCATGAGAGGTGAGACAGAGAATTCCTCCCAAAACCACATATAGTTTCAAAATATAGTTAATACAACTAGCCCTGAAACAGCAACAGGAAGAAGGCTACACCAGACTGCATACAGACCTCACGAACAGAGCAAACCTAACAAAACACAGTAATGTACCAAAGCCTTGACCTGTCGGGACCCAAGCCCTTCCCCCACCTCAGGTCACAGACAGGAGGAAGAGAAACGGAGAAGAGAGGGAGGGGGTGGAAGCCTAAGACTGCTGAAGATCAAGCCCTGGAGGTATGCTTTGGAGCAGAAACCTACGTTGCGTGGTGCTCTGGAGTTTGGTGGGGTTGGAGAGCTGGGACAAGCAGAGTGCTTGAGAGACTGAGATTCTGGCCATTTGTGCAGAAAGGGAACCACATCTGGCTGCTCTGGGAAAAAGGAAAGGTGGACAGTCTGAAAGGCTTCCTAGCAGCAAGAGGGTTGCTGAAGGGGTGGGGTTTACGTAGAGCTTGGTACACAGGAGAAGGGATAGGTGGACAAGGTTGGGTGCACTCTGCCCAGCAGGTGGGGAACTTTGAGAAGCTTCAGGCACTCCATTGCCCTGGTTGTCTACTCAGCTCCAAGGTGCCCCACTGACACGCAGCCTGCTGAGCCTTCCTCCTGACCTGCCAGCACTTGCTCGCAAACCAGCGGTCACTGCGCTGAATTCAGAACAGCCACAGGGAGGCCCTGCCTAGAACACTTAGAGATGCAAAGCACAGAGGCTTACACCTGTGTGCTCAGCCCACTGGCTCTGATACTAGAGACAGGCACTGCAGCCGGGAATTAGGAAACAGCTCTTTACTCCCCACAGGCACCAGCGCTGCTGCCCTACAATCCCTAACCTCACTCTAGGGGCTGAGAAGCTCCATAGACTAGAGCTTCTGGGCACTAGAGGACACCACATAGAATTATGAAACATCAAAGGAACCTGGTTCACACAAAAATCTCACAAACCCCAGAAAAAGGGCCAAATGAAACTGAACTCACCAATCTTCCTGAAAGAGAGTTTTAAAATAAAAATGATAAACATGCTCATGGAGGTAGAGAAAAATATTCAAGAACTCAGGGACAAATTTAGGATGGATATTCAATCATTAAGAAATTTCATATCTGAAATGAAACATGCAATGGAGGGATTTAAAAGCAGAATAGAGGTAGTAGAAGAGGCAGTAAATGAACAGAAATTAGAGAAGAGAAATACAAAGAAGCTGAGGCAGAGAGAGAAAATATCTCTAAGAATGAAAGAATATTAAGAGAACTGTGTGATCAATCCAAAGGGAACAATATCCACATTATAGGGGTACAAGAAGAAGAGAGAGAGGGAAAGGGATAGATAGAAAGTATCTTTGATGTGGTTCCCAACTTTGGGAAGGAGGTAAGTCTCTAAAACCATGGAGGTGCACAGATCTCCCAACACAAGGGACCCAAGGAAGACAACATCAAGACACATAATAATTAAAATGGCAAAGATCAAGGATAAAGACAGACTTTTAAAAGCAGCTAGAGAAAGAAAAAACATCACATACAAAGAAAAACCCATCAGGCTATCACCAGATTTCTCAACAGAAACCACATAGACCAGAGGGAGTGGCAAGATATATTTAATGAAATGAAGCAGAAGGGCCTCGAACCAAGAATACTCTACCTGGCATGGTTATCATTTAAATTTGAGGGAGGGATTAAACAATTTTCAGATAAACAAAAGCTGAGAGAATTTACCTCCCACAAACCACCTCTACAGTGCATTTTGGAGAGACTGCTATAGATGGAAGTATTCCTATGGCTAAATAGATGACACCAGGGGAAATAAAACCACAGCAAAGTAGAACAATTAATTACTAAGCAGATGTAAAATTAAAATCAGCTACCACCAAAGTCAATAAAGGGATAGACAAAGAGTGCAGAATATGTTACCTAACATGGAGGCGAAAGAAAAAAGAGGAAAAAAAAGACCTTTAGCTTGTCTTTGTAATAGCATATGAAGTGAGTTAAATTAGACTGCTAGATACTAAGGGAATTCCCTTGAACATTTGGTAACCACGAATCAAATGCATGCAATGGCAATAAGTACATACCTATTCATAATCACCCTAAATGTAAATGGTCTGAATGCACCAATCAAAAGACACAGAGTCAATGAATGGATAAAAAAACAAGACCCATCTATACACTGCCTACAAGAGACTCACTTCAAACCCAAAGACATACACAGACTGAAAGTAAAGGAATGGAGAAAGATATTTCATGCAACTAATAGGGAGAAAAAAGCAGGAGTTGCAGTACTAGTTATCAGAAAAATTTGACTTCAAAACAAAGAAAGTAACAAGAGACAAAGAAGGAAACTACATAATGATAAAGGGGTCAGTACAACAAGAGGATATAACTATTATAAATATCTATGCACCCAACATGGGATCACCAACACATGTGAAACAAATACTAACAGAATTAAAGGAAGAAATAGAATGCAATGCATTCATTTTAGGAGACTTCAACACACTACTCACTCCAAAGGACAGATCAACCAGATAGAAAATAAGTAAAAAGACAGAGGCACTGAACAACATATTAAAACAGATGGACCTAACGGATATCTACAGAATACTTCACCCAAAAGCAACAGGAAACACATTCTTCTCAAGTGCACATGGAATATTTTCAAGAAAGGATAATATACTAGGCCACAAAAAGAGCCTCAGTAAATTGAAAAAGATTGAACTTGTACCAACCAGCTTCTCAGACCACAAAGGTATGAAACTAGATATAAATTACAAAAAGAAAATGAAAAATCCCACAAAGACATGGAGGCTTAATAACCAATGGATCAATGATCTAATAGAAACAGAGATCAAGCAATACATGGAGACAAATGACAACAATAACTCAATGCCGCAAAATCTGTGAGACGCAACGGAGACCGTGCTAAGAGGAAAGGACATTGCAATACAGGCCTGCCTCAGGAAAGAAGAACAATCCCATATGAACAGTCTAAACTCACAATTAACAAAACTAGAAAAGGAAGAACAAATGAAGTCCAAAGTCAGGATAAGGAGGGACATAATAAAGATTAGAGCAAAAATAAATAAAATTAAGAAGAATAAAACAATA